TGTTAGTAAATATAGTTATAAGCGTAGCACTAAAAAATGGTAACAAAAATCGAAGAACAAATCATTTTGGAATTCTTCTGATTTATAAAGCAGGTAAGTGCTAATTTTTAAAAAATAAAAAATTTTACTTTAAAATGATTTTTTTCTTATTTGATGATAGTTTTCTATAGAATGGTTTTCTACGTCCGATTATGAATCAAAAAAGAAAAAAACATGAAAGTTGTTTACTTTAATGTAAGGAATTTTCAGAATTGGCTTTTTCTTTTTTGCTTTGTATCGTAAGCATTCTTTATTTTGCGTTTTTTAGTTTTTAAATAATGATTTTTATTAAAACTTAAAATTTGTTGATAAAAATTGTTGTCAAAAAACTTTTTTTACAAAATTAAATTATAAAAAATTATGAAGCTTATGTATATATTTTGCTTATTTTAATGTTTGAAGTAATATGATTCTTAAAATTATGGAATGTAAAGTTTAAATAGGCCTTTCAGGTTATATCATTAAATTTAGTAAAACTATTTCTCAGGCATTAGGTTTTAACTCTAATAAGAAGATATAGATTTTTTTCTGTTTATTTACAAATATTTTTCAGATGTGTTTTGGATGTTCCATCTTTAAAAAAAATAGATACATGTTGCTTTCGGTTGCATAAGAAAGGATATCAAACATTTTTCTTTTGTAAATTTAATAAGCCACGATAAAGAAGGAACGTTACAATGCTGCACGCTACATTAAAGACGTCTCCAGAGTAACTGAATGACTGTTCATATAGAAATTGCAGGTATTCGTCTCATACAACAACGCCCCCTATAGTTTGTTGCGATAGCGAATACTTTAGCAGTTGGGTGTAACAGTTTAAAATGGATTTATTTTCATGCTGATTAATGCGAATTATCGTGAATATTTAATTTAATTTCAGTTTGTTTTGATAATTGTCATTTTTGCTGACTTTACATTAATTTGTTTTTCTAAAAGACATTTTTCTAGAGAAACAGTTTAAAAAAACAAAGCAAGATGCCACTTTAAATAGTTTTCACCATGCTTTCTCATACCTCACGAAAATTTGTCTCATTACAAACAATGAACACGAAGAGCTGTAAGTAGAAACCCAGTTTTTCCACAAGTATGTTGCTAATAGTAATACTTAAAAACTTTTTCAAAATTTAATTTATAGCTACTGAAAGATTCTAAAATGTAAGTTATATTTAATATCCTATTATAAATATTTGTTAATACCGATTTTTATTCTGCTTTTAATTATCAATATATTCAAAAAATTAAAAATAAAGCATGATTTAATGAAAATATTCTTAGGATATAACTTTGCACTATCCTTATCGGAAGGATTTATCTATTTTTATCTTTTTTTAAGCTTGGCGAAAAAAATGGTGCCTTGCAAAAACTAAAATATACCGAGAAAAATTTAGAAAAGCCGTGATATAAAGATGCCATTAAACAAAATAATGTGATATGTTCTAGACACAAAATATACTAGAATCCTCTTTGTCCTATTTATCCGAGTACTATTTAGTAATTGAAATTTCTGTAAAATTTACCAACTCGTTTTTATTTGTATTTATACTTCGTTTAGTTTATAATTCTGAAGTGTTTATTACTCTGTTGGGTCCCAACTCATTAAAGATCCCGAGCAACCACGTATGTGTGGTAATTACCAAGACAACTGGGTCGCATTTATTGTAAATACTGATTATAAATATGTATGTATATATCAGTTTTGATTTGATTATTGTCTTAATATTTGTAATCTTGTTTCTCAATGATTTATTACCTATGTTAATATATTTTACTTGTAAATAGATGTTTCTTGATTCTGACTATATTTAACTTTGAATTTTGACAGCCCCTTTACACTCCAATTCATTTCAATTATATTTGTGATTTTTAATATAAGACCAATCGATCAATTCGCGCCAAATCGCCGAGATATACTAAATTTCCAACGTTATACGCTTATTCGGTACTACTTGGTATCTGGAGGTCATAAAAAATTTGAAACAATCTAGATTTTAATTTATTAAAAAGGCACAGATAGAGTGATTATAAAATAACTTTGCAGCTATTTTATAACTGCTGTGCATATCATTTGAGTGCACGAAATATACATATAAAATGATAATGAATATAATTTAAATATGAAAAGCTTTTAGTTATTCTATGTCAGAATTGAAAATTTTTTATTGCTCAACGTATTTTATTATAGAGAAAATTATTGGGAGGAGAATTCTGATTTTTTATGGTAACAACTTTAGGGAATGAAAAATAACCTTACTTCGTTTGAAATTTCTAATTCATGTGAAGTTATTCGATAGTAAGGTTACATTTTCAAAAAGACGAATCTCAATCAACTCCAATATCACGATATATTGCTCATGGGCTGCAATAGTGGCACAACTAAAAGAAACACGCGTTTTTGACAAAGAACAGGTGCAAATATGAAAATACACATTCTTTTCAGCAGCAATACTCAACCACTCATAATTCAACTTGAAGGTAATCTTCGTTTAAGCAAACTAAAGCATTTCTTATGCATTTTTCTTTGCAATGAAAACTTTAAATCCACTTGTCTCAAAACTTGATTTTTTGAGTTGTGACACTATTGCATCCCATGAGCGATATTTTGCGCTCTATCGATAATTATTACCATAGCATGTTAGGTGGATAAAAATGCAGACGAAGCTATTTAAAAAGAATCGAGCAAACAATTTCGATAATTAGTGTGCATTAAAAAGCAGAAGGCGTAACTTTTAGTATAATTAAAATAATCCGGTAAAGATATTAAGAAATAAAAACTAGGGTTAAAGGATTTAGGAGAAAAGGGTGAGTTGAGCTAAATTAGATCGTGAAGCGATATGTAGATAGGTACTTTATTTAGATCACACTAGAGCTGCACAATGGGCTATTGGAGACATTCTAAGAAGCATCCCTGCGGATGATCCGAAGACATGCATCACAATTTTGCGAGGCCACTTCCCCCATTTAGACATAGATCTGAGGAGGAAGGAAATTTCCTCCTGATCCCTGTACCCATGGTACTGCTCAGCGACCGATCTCAGGACTTTCAATTTCGCAGATTTTACGAGCACATATATCACATGCACTCCGGGGGGGGGATCTTATCAGAATCGAGGATTAAACCCCGGACCGAAGTCCGATTCACTAACCACTGCGCTTCCACGACATATACAGAACAACGCCAGCAGTTTCTGGGGTTAACTAGCAATAGCGAGCTGGTGGCATAGCCCTAAAGATCTTAAAAAATCTAATTAATATTAATGACTTAATCTATTTGACTGAGTGAAAAAAAGTTATAAGTACTAACAATAAGTTTATGGAAATTTGATAATTTTTTATCACTTCAACAACGGCGCCAAACGTCAGATGTACACTATCCCCGGAAAGAAAATCGTATTGCCTGGCTATCACGAAAACTTCTCTAGTCACCAAACTCAAGTGCTGAAGGTAATTATGGTTACGAAAACAAATAATTTCGAACATGGGTGTAGAGTTACTCATTAGTTTAGGTTAGGAGAGTTAATAGCAACATCAGACTTTAACGGAAACAGAAAAAATAGAATGTCCAGCTCTCATGATAACTGAACATTCTTATTCTGTTTCCGGGACGAGGAGAGAGGGTTAAAAAACAACAAGCTTGCACCCTTTCAATTACATACCCTTTATAGTGAAAATCATATCTTTTGCAAGGGGGGAAAAGTTTGGTTTGTATGTATGCATTTTTCTTGAAACATACAGTGGGCAGAATTATGAACTGTAAACTAATATATGAACTGGAGTATTAGGTAATTAATATACTATTATGGGTACAGTGGTGCTAACTCCCCCCCAAAACTGAACAGTATTAAAATTTCTTGTTACAGTCAACCTGAAAGCTATATTTGCTCTAAACTATATGTAAATATTTTATCTATTATTCTGGTTGCAAACTATATTTATTTTGGAATTGCAACATCTTATTTTTGTAGGTAGTATGGATCCAAATTCCATTGGCATGTCTATAGTTCAGAAAAAAAGAAAATTTCAAGTTAAAAGAAGACATGATGATACAATCTTCCAAGCACCAAAATCAAAAGCGGCGAAGAAAGAATTTATTAGAAAGGAAACTAAGTCTTCATCGAAAAAGACTCAAAATGGGAAAAAAGCCAAACCAATACCTAAAACTCTGAAGAAAAGCAACAGAAAGCAATTGAAGAAAACAAAGAAGCAAGCATCACCGAGTATATCGGATTTTAGTTCTGAATCAGAATATGACTGTCCAAACTTCAAATTTAGAGCATATTTTTCTTGAATCTCATCTTTCATGCGATTTCAAATGAATGAGTAGTAACCTATTTAACTAACCGCTTATAAAATTCGAGGTTTTTCTACGTAAAATAAAGTTATGTTTTTTATTATTTTTACAACTTTTTATTTTCTATATTTCAAATATTTATATTTCTGTGATATTCCTATACTGCCTTCACATATGATATGCTTTCATCAAGCTCTGCGCATGGGAAGTAACTATCGTGTCGTCATCATTGACAAAAGTTATTTAAGCCGCTGACTGATTTTTCAGCTGGGAACCGATTCTTTCTGTGCTGCTCAAAGCAAGGCATGAACCAATACGAGGTTAGGAAGAGGAGTTCCGTCTTTTAAACAGAAGCATTCGTAGCTCATATGTTTTGTAGTTTTAGACATACTTATTTACTATTATCTATTGTTATAATACATGTATTTTCTTCAATTTGAAGGATTTCACTATTGGAAAAATTTAATAATTTTAATTAATACTTTATGGTAAGGTTAAACTGGAAATACATTGGTAAAAGAAATTAAGAGAATTTGCAGACTTGGTCGATTATCTCAATGATATAATACAAAATAAATAACCATTCAAAAATTGTAATACACGCGTATGATCTTACGTAACACTCGTTAGAGTCGGAAGGTATGAAACAGCGGTAGCAGAATAAACAAAAAAAAAAGGGATTTATAGGGGGTATGATCCCTTCATACAGATATACAGGCCTTGCAGCGTGATTTCGCATTTGAAACAACACAGTTAATCATTTCCTGTGGCAATTGTTTAAACTTGTTCATCAAAGCTGTATGGTTCTCGGATGGTGGTGGCGAGTTGAAATTGTGCTCCTTAGAGAGTCCCAGACGTGCTCTATAGGGTAGAGGTTCAGAGACTTGGCTAGTCAATCCATCCGGCGAATATCCTCACTCTCTAGAAATTCGTCCACCAGAAGAGCTCTGTGTGGCCCCGCGTTATCGTCCATTAAAATGAACTCAGGGCCAACTGCACCCCTGAAAAAGCGAACATGGGGCTCTCTAGATAAATCCGATATCTTGGAACTGTTTCCATAAGTTACACACGACACTGGGCGTTAAGTTGAGCTCTCTACAAATCTGGATTCGAGATGGGCCTGCTTCTAGCCTCCCTAAAATTCGCCACCTCATTCCATCATCTAAGCGTTGGTGGTTACTCGTTCTTACTGTTATAATTTGAATTTCACCTATTGCTGCAAAATAACACCAAGAAATTCACCGAGGTGCTCTTGAAAACGAAATGCGTTTTAACTTATGCCACTTATTAAGCCTGTTTCTCTACTGGCTCCGCCTACACACACATGTACGCTTACGTATTTTGTGTACAAGATTTGTATTTTCGTCTAGAAGTAGGGGTTTACATTCAGTTGAGTTCTTTTCATGAAATTCGATAAAATATGAAAATTCTCTTAATTTATTTCACCATATTCTTGAATTTATTTTCTTTTTGAAACTTTTTGTATTTGAAAAAAGTGTTAAATAATTTATACAGTTGTGGGCGAATTGGACAAAGAAAAGAAAAAAAAAGCCCAATAAAATTTCGAAATGAAACTGTAATTGGTTTGGTATATTTTCCCAACTAGTTTCTTCATTTTCGAACAGTAGTTGAACCCACAATTTAGCATTGATTTTCATACACGGCAATATTTTTACATGCATTACTTTTTCAGTTCTGTTACTTGTTTACTCTTACTTGCTATTTTGTAACTTTTTATGGAACAAGTATTTGTAAAGAGAAAGAAATTGTTAAATTTTTCTGAAATTTTTTTTAAAGTTTTTGAATTTATTGTTTTTTCTTAATTAATAAATTTAATGTATCATAAATTCTTTAACAGCAACTTTTTTTCCAAAAAAAAAGAAGAAAGAAAGAAAAAGAAAAAAACGACGATTTTCTAAAGGGGTGAAGGCGGCTCTTTTGAACACTCAATGACTTTTTCGCAAAAGTTGTCAAGTTCTAGTAGTATTGGAACAAGCTTTATCTATTTTCTAAGAATCAGCTGTGAAAACCTGATAGCTCAAAAAGTTTGAATGAAAAAGTTAGAGAACGGGAAAAATGTGCATTTAAATACTGTAAACTACGTTAAATGTGTGTGTACTATTTTCCTGTTCTGCATGAGTTATGTTTTTATACTTGTGAGTTTCGACGGCTTGTTTCCACAAACATGTTCTTTTTGGAAATATTCCTAAGCAATAGCCGATAAGACATGGATAGAATGCGAGTTATTGGTCTTAAAGATTCGGATCCGTCACTTTTTAATATTTCTTTTTTATTTTATTTTCAATTTTATTTATTTATTTATTTATTCGACAAGAGACTGTAGTTTTCCTGCATTTAACTTATTCTAAAAAAAAAGTACGTTGCATATACTGATACTGCTTAATTTGGTTAGAGATGATGAGTAGAGAAGGCTCAATGTTTTTTTCAAAAAAAGAATTATGTGCGCTAGTACTTTAGATTTGAAAAATGCTTTAACCCATTTATTTAAGTTTGACAAGCAATATTTTTGCCTTTATTTTTAAATAATTGCAATAATTTATTTGATGTAATCAAACTTTTTTTGTAATTTCTTTTTTTTTGCATTTAAGTTTCAAAATATAAAAATTATGCTTTATTTAATTGAAATATAGTATGTATTACTACGACGAATTGCGCTTGTGATGAATTGAACCCACAACTATTTGTTTTTGTGACGAATTGTGTCCACTTTGAATTGTCGCTGCGAAGAATTGGCCAACGATAAATTCTTACCATGACGAACTGTGCGCAAAAAACTATACAGTATCATTTTATTGAACGTTATTTAATTCCACTTTATTTTAGATTTTTTTAAAACTAAATTTTAAAACAAGTTTTTAAAAGAAATTTGGGATGACTATTCAGATGTGGAATAACTAACGTAAGTCTTTGGTATGGTTTAGAGACACCTGATAGTCAAGGGCGGCGCCAGTAGGGGGTCAGGGGGGGGCAATTGCACCCCTGTCGGGAATGGCCAGTCCCCCCCATCGGGAAAAATTTAGAGTCTCGTCGGGAAAATAGTCTCTTCACATTTTTTTGAAATAATGTCAAAAAATGCCTAATAAAAATTTTTGTAGTTAATTTTTTATTTATTTGCTTTTAAGAATTAGTAACAAAAATTAGCAAAATATATTGTAAATTCTATGTAATTGTAGTTTCATTGCACTTCTTGTAACTTTGCCCATACATTGTTAAACTAGAGACCGGATGCGATTAGACATGGTTGAAATTAGCGACTTTTCGAAGTCCCTTAGGAATCCTTTCCCACAGACACATCTTCATTTTCTTGGAACAAAAGCCTGGGGACAGAAAGAGACGCAGGTCCTGTTCGTTACAAATTCTTTTTTTTTATGTAATGTGTTTATCAATGGCTTATGGGATCACATAATTGCTTTTTGAAATTTTCTAGTAAAATGAAAGTATAAGGAAAAAAAAATATTTCCAATTTTTTTAATACTTATAAATGAGGAAAATCATTTACTTATTCGGATTCAAGGCTTATATTTTAATCAACGCAATAAATATGCAGTCGAAAAAAAAGAAAAACAGTAACAAAATTTTTAATTTTTAATTTTTTTTTATTGCCTTAGTAGTAAAAAGATTGTTGATTGATTCAGAAAAACAATTAAACTGTTCGTATTCAATATCTTTAAATATATATATTAATCAACATAACAGATTCTCATTGACTTATTTTATGTACAGTGTATGAAATGGAAAAAGGGAACACCTTGATTAACTTTTGATTTAATCATATTTTCACGTACAAAGAGTCAATACCATATTTTAAGTTGCGAAAATGAACAGAAAAGCTCATTCTGTTCTTGATAAACTTACAAGTTTGTCTATAGTTTTAGGCTTTTAATTTTCAAAATGAGGAAACAGCTGCAATCTGGAAGATATGGTCTTCTGAAGTTATGGCAGAGAGAGAGAGAGTTGGAAAGTTTGGGTCTTTTAATTTTAACTTCACTCTTCGATTATAGCCTATTATCTCGAGAACTTTTTGAGTGTATTGAAAAATGTTTGCATAAAATTACGAAAAACATTTTATGCACAAATTTTAAGCAAAATTAATTTTAAATAATTATTTGTTATTTTTTANGATTATAGCCTATTATCTCGAGAACTTTTTGAGTGTATTGAAAAATGTTTGCATAAAATTACGAAAAAAATTTGATGCACAAATTTTAAGCAAAATTAATTTTAAATAATTATTTGTTATTTTTTATTAGTTTATTAAATAGTAGTAAAATGTATTGAATTGCATGTTCTACATATTTTTACATCCTCTTAATTTCAAAATACAATTCAGTGCAATCGATCAATTAGTTTCTGAGTTATCAAATTTTAAAAAAGTCAGTTTGCTTAAAATTTTACTTATCTCGAATTATTTAATCGACTTCATTCAAATTTTGTATTTTACACTTTAAAATTACCTTCCATAAAATTATATAAAAATGTGTATATTTTTCTAATTTATTTTATTTTATCCGTCGTTGAATAACCGACCCAATTTTCTGGTTTATGACTACTAATGTTCAAAGGTATTCTTTGGCCAAGTTCAACTCCGTAGCCTTGTAATTTTGAACCAATCCAGAAGACAAGGAAACTCCTGGATAAGTACCCCCAGAGATATTTATTTGTTATGGGAACATGGAGGACTTTGCGACTCGACATATTTAACGTGCATCAGTCGCCATTACACGGGGATTTCAAAAATCGGGATTCAGAATTTTTCCAACGCATATTATAAATAAAAATATAAAAAATATTAAATATATATTTTTATAACTATTTAAAATTATATTTTTTGCATGACATTACCTTTGGAAAAACGAATTCTTGAAATTGTATGAAATTTTTTTCGATTCAATCAAAACGCAAAACGTTCTTGAGATATGACGAGATTGAGATACTATCATCATTATCATTGAGCCATTATTTCGAAGCCATTACTATGCAATTACTATGAAATTAGCAAAGGAGGACAAAATGAAAGACGTTCTTATTTATTTATATCTGATATTAATATTGAAAGTGAACATAATTTCACCTTATTTTCCTCT